AGTCCACATATATCCTCCCACGAGTTACTGGAGAGTCGGTAAGGACGATCTCTGGTACTGTCACAGGGTTGTTCTTCATTAACTTCTTAGGACCAACGGCCAATAACTTCGTGGGCTTCGACCTTTACCAACCTTCGTTGCTCGAGATATGAAATAGGTGACAATAACTTCTGGGTGTAATAACTTCGTGCTTAACTAACTTCTATCACTAAGACAACAACCAGAGATCGTCAAAGATCTCTGGGAACTTCGGCCCTTAAGTACTTCGTCCTTCCCTAACTTCGTCAACGCAGAACTTCGTTCAACCCGGCGTCCCGAGCTTCGTACCTCGCGAACTTCGTCCCCGACGAAGTTCGTGCCTTCCTAACTTCGTATCCTCCTAACTTCGTATCTCCCTAACTTCGTATCTTCCTAACTTCGTATCCCCCTATCTTCCTACATGACTAACTTCGTCCTCGACGAAGTTAGCCTCCTAATACCCTCGTGGGTGGTGAAGTTCATGCGAACTGGGTCGTTGATGGCGAACTGATGTCCAAAGGAACTTCGTTTGATGGGAAAGGGTAATGTCACGCGGCGCCGCGTGACAATTATCCTCAGATCTCAACAACCATAATAACCATCCACTGCTTACCAGTGAACAACTACTCTCTTCCATGATTAAACAACAAAGTGATAAACACTTCGTGAAAACCCAGGAGGAACGGCGTCGTATTATTCAGCATGAACATGGTGGAAAAGATGCAGGACACCCTGGTTGGAGAGTAACATTGAGAAAGATCAGCGACTTGTGGATTTGGACTGGGATGAAAGAGGATGTTAGAAAATATTGTGAGGAGTGTGAAATTTGTCAACGTACCAAAGCAAGACGACAAGCGCCAGCTGGTCTCCTACAACCCCTAGAAGTGCCCGGACAACCGTGGGCCGACATTACTTGTGACTTCATAGGGCCCCTGCCACAGTCAAACAATTTCAACTCTATCTTGGTAGTTGTTGATAGGCTAACAAAAATGGCAGTCTTTATTCCGACCGTCACTACAATAACAGCAGAAGACTTTGCGGAATTATTTCTCAAGAAAGTCTATACAAGGTTTGGTGTACCAAACTCAATTGTCTCCGACAGAGGCTCACTATTCGTCTCCCGGTTCTGGAGAACGTTCAACACGTTGTTGGGAACGGATCTTAAATACTCAACGGCGTACCACCCACAAACCGATGGACAGACGGAGAGAG